AAATGTTCGAGCTATCACGTAAACTTTTAATCAAGATCCCGCAGGCTTTCGCTCATATAATTCGCTGGTAAAATTCTTCTAATTCGAATGTGGACTCTTCCTCCTTTTTTTCAAGGTTGAAAGATGTTTGAGCTATCACGATAACCTTTAATTAGAATCCAGCAGACTTTCGCTCACATTGCTCGCTATTAAAACTCTTCTTGCGCCAATGTTGAAGCTTCTTTTGTTTTGTCCTCAGTCCAAGAAGTATTTAATTTATCACAGAAACTTTTAATCATAATATCGCAGAATTTTTCCCGCACTCTTCGACATGAAAATTCTTCTTGTTTGTGGAAGCTTCTTTCCTTTTTTCTTTAGTCCAATAAATGTTCGAACTCTCACGAGAACTTTTATTCAAGACCTCGCAGACTTTCGCTAAAATGATTCACTATTAAAATTTTTCTCGTTTCGAAGTGGAAGTTTTTCTTCATTTTTTTCAAGTTCAAAGAATTTTCATACTACTACTTGAACTATTAACCAGATTTCGCAGATTTTCGCCTGCATAATTCGCCGTGGAAATTTTTCTACTTCTGATTACGAAGCTTCTTTACTTTATTCTCTGCTCAAAAATGTCCGAACTATCATGAAAACTTTTGATAAGGATCTCTCAAAGTTCGCCTACATGGTTCGCTATTATACTTCTTCTTGTTCCGGTGTGGAAGCTCCTTTCCCTTTTTCTCTAGTTCGAAAAATGTTCAAGCTATCACGGAAACTTTTAAGCGTGTTTCTCATACTTTTGCCTTAGCAGAATCACACCATGGTAAACAAATAAGGAACTGCCTCTTTTGTAAATTCGCTTGTATTTTTTTCCACATGCAACTATTGTGAAATTGGTTGCATTCCATTTATGAATTCAACGTGGCTCTCAGTCAACTGCCTTCCGCAATTTGCTTCACATTCGCTTTAAGTACTTAGGCTGTGTTGGAAGATTATTCTATAGTATTTCATTAGGTTCTCCATGTTCCGATCATTGCAAGGTGTGTGCATGAGAATCGCATGAAACTTTTGATGATGCTTCAAGAATGTTTGAGAAGAACATGGTCTTAGCTACTGCGCCATCTCCGTGGAATATCGGTAAGCGAGGTTGGTCATGAAATTTTTTCCCATTTCCAGTCCTTATTTCTTCCATTTCATTCTATAAAACACTTGTACTTATAAGTAGATTTTTATTCAATCTCCACATGCAACTGCTTCGAATTATTCACCACCAAAACTCGTGTTGATCCGATCTGATGGCGTTTATCCTTTCTTTTCCAGTTTCGAGTACAAAGATTGAAACTACTGCGCTGGTTTTGATCAGGACGTCGAAGAATAGGGCATCATTTGTCTCGCAGTGAAAATTTTTCCTGTTACGATTTGGTACCTTTGTTCCTTTCTTTCTCTAGCAAAGAAAAATTCGGAACACTTACGAAGATTCTGTTCAATTCTTCACAGACTTCCCGCTTGCGGTATTGATCGTGAAACCTTGCCTTATATCAAACTTGCAGTCATTATCACTTCTATTTCGGTCTGAAAAGAACTGCACATATAAGCAAACTTTTGAATAGGTCTTCACATACTTGTGCTCTGAATTATTCGTCATCAGAACCTGCCTTACTCCAATTTTTTAGCTTTGATCCTTTCTCTCTCTAAAAAGTTGTTTGGACAGTTACATAGATTCTGATTAAAAGCTCGCAGACTTGACCTACGCGCTTTGTCCTTTCCATTTCATTCTCCGATTTATTTTTTAATTTGAGTAGATTTTTGATAAAATTTTGTGGACCTCAGCTCTACATGATTCGCAACGAAAATTCACCCTGTTCCGGCTCGAAATCGTTTGTAATTTTTCCCCCTCCCTATAGATTTTGTCGCTACATGGCTCGCTATGAAAATGAGTTCTTTTCCGATTGGATGGCCTTTATCCTTTCACTCTTATTCACTACTACCGTTTCGGCGGAATTGTCTTCTTCGGAGCCTGTGAACTGAGTGCATATGTATTTATGGTTCATTAGACTCATTTGTGATTTGTGATTCATCGTGATTCATTTATTCATTGATTCACTACCTTTTCAAATTACAAAAAGAACATCCCATGAAGCTGTCGAGTGGAGCTCTTTGCAGGCATCCTATGCCCAAATTTCCTCGCGGCGTTTTTATGTGTTGGGACCCAGAGATCTGGTCAGAGAGTGCTCCAGGGATTCCTCCTCCTCCATCTCCATCTTCTAGTATGAAAACTAATAACTAAGGTCGTTTACAGGTCATTCCTGTCGCTGACGTTCATCGCCCTTTATATTAATTTTTAGCAAGTTTAAGTATTTCCACCCGTCAGCCCAGGCACGGCGCTGAAGCGGAGCTTTCGCTATAACTTCTACTGAAATTCTCCAAACAGTATATATGTAGGATAATCTGAAAGCTCTGCTCGTAAAAAATACAGACACTAAATAATTTTTCAGTTCTTTTTGAATTTTTTACCTTTCATTCTTCACTCCCCGATTTGACTGGTACTTCGTTTCCAGTGTTCAAGAATTATGTATGGCTTCATATCTAAGTAATGCATTGAAACGTGATTATTCTGATACTCTCACGGCGAATTAAACTTATCCGAAAACAGCGGGAACAGTAAAAGCAAATTCCCAAAAATGCGAGTTTCTTAGCCACGTATTTTGTGTGAAGGGCCAATAGAGAACTCTAGCACTGGAGAGTCCAGATATATAGGGGAATTCCGAGAGCGCTCTACATTCTCGACCAGTTCAAATTATGAGTCTCCCGGAAAATGCTACTCCTTTCAGCGGTATATTTCATAGAAACCAAGTAGTTTTGCTCTCATTCTAGGCTCCAACAATGTGGTATAAGAAAAGCATGCGAAACCATGCCGTAAGAATGCGATCAACGAGATTTCTACATTCGAATCCGTTAATAAGTTCCTATTGGTATAAATCGCTTCACGGTTGCTTCGAGGGTTGTTCAGCTATGATATGGACTGAAAGGGTAAAGGATGAAAAACTGTTGTGTTTTTGTGCTAGTATTATAATTAACTTTGACGATGGGGAGAGTAGATCGCCTTCTGAGTGACGTGCCCTTCAAACCCCAAGCTATCATAACCTAAATACTCTCTTCTCCGAATTCATTTTGAATTTCTTTCTTTACTCCGGCTAGGAGCTTCACTTCAGCTTATGGATGCCATAAACGCCAGCATAATTTAAGGAACTCTATGACTGATTTCATTATCTGCAACTATTCATTTTTCCGGACAAACCTTCTGGCTTGATTATCCCATTTGAGGGACGCTCTTCGACCTCGACCTGCAATCAGGATCGTAGTGGCGTGATAATTTGGTTTTTCAGTTTCAGGACGGGAAGGCTTTCAACTAGAAATAACTACTGCAAAAGAGAGTCATCAAAATTCTGGAAGATGGTCATGATTTGGACCCTAGATGGGTGTGCGAAGACACTCGACTTCGCTTCACAAGCCCTTACGACATCGGGGGGAAAAGAACCACGGGCATATCGACCACTTATCACTTCCACAACGTCGGGCCATTATCGACAGACTCTCTCCTAAACGTTTACCAGCAACAGTTGAAAAAACTCAAAGTCGACATCGTTGCTGTTTGCAATCTAGGAGAGCACGTGCAGACTCAACGAAGTTGTAAAAGAAGCTCCAAGTTGAAGAAGTTCTGCTAGCATTCTGCTAGCAGAAGGAGCTGATAACGTGTCCAGAACAGGCGAAGTCGGTTCCATTGTGAAGTAAGGATGATTTCATATGTTATTTTCTGCGGCATCCAATCCCCACGAGTTGCGAATCTTCGTGCAAGTGTACGCGCACACAGAACCACGAAACTGAGCGCATCTGGAAATAGACAGGGCTTCAAAGCTCAAATCAACTTAAATTATTGTTCAGGCGGATATCAACGCAGCTGCTGCCTCTCGATTGGGCAGTAACTACGAATACTTCTAACTACGAATACGGAGGTACGGTGCCCGCCCGCTGGTCTACTACCTCAACGTGGTGGAAGGGTGGGTTTAGGCATGTAGGCGTGTCCGGTTCCAAGTAATTCTGGTTAGTGTAGCAATAATAATTCTGTTTCCTTTGAAGTTTTTTGTATTTTATCATATGCTCTGATGCAGAGCTCCAATATTCTTCAATCATGCGGGAGTTTATCTTGACCGACTTGCTGCTTTGCGTTTGATTTCGTTCTACTCTGTGGTTACGTATATGTGCGAGGAAATGGAGGGATGGCGGCCATCTTGCTTGAATCCCCCTTATCTGCCCTCCCGCGGTCACAGTTAGATTCGTTCTTCACGCGTTAATTTGCAGACAGCAGGCCCCGGAAAGTTACATCTAAGTCATCGCCTTTTGGATTAAGGACAAGGACTCACTCGGGGAAATATCCTCCTACCAAAGAGAAGGCGTCATGTCGCCCTATCACAAGCTTTCGTCACTACCATCGGTTGTCGGCTGTATGATCCAGAATCTCTCGTCTACGTTTTCTGCTGCTCGAGGAGGTTTTACGTTGGAGCCTTCGTTATTTTCTTAATCAACATCTTGATTAACATTTATAAAAATGTCTAATATATAATAGAACCAGAAGTTCAAGTCCACGTCTGCATGCCTGACGGCCATTAAAACGAGGCCACCTCAGCTCCTTCTGATCCAGGGTGGCTGTAGCCACGATAGTGAAGACTCAGTACTAGCCCTGACAGAGCAGTGTTGAGATTCCAAGGAGCGAGCTTGCTAGAACAGCAACAAAACAGTTCCAGTACCCCGCACACTGGGCCAACCCGTCTTCGGCGTCGCACGGTATGGCAACCTGTGAGAGGCGAAGAAATCTAGGACTGCGCAGGGCGCCCTAGATTTCGGATCGTAACAGCACTCATTCCACACGCGAGACTGTTTCCTACTTTGCACCTACAACGCGAAAACAGTATCTTCCAATGTCGCTCTCCACCAGCTCCTCGATGCTGCTAGTCACATTATGTATCATGAAATTGCGCTACGAGAAACCTAGAGCAGGAGGACCGACGTACGACGAATGGATGATGGAACCCTCATCATTCGTGGTGAAAAGCTTCTCTGGCGAAATGTTGACGGTGTTGGCTCCGTCGTCCACTCATCCACGCCTACGACTCACGCTGTTGAAGACCGTCTCCACCGTCAACTGCTACTCTACACACTCTACAGATCTTTCAACAACGTGCAAAGAGCTCGAAGCATGTTGTAAACGACGGAGATATTAGGACTGACGCCTTGTCTCGATATGACTGCCTGCACTTGGATGACCCGACGGATGACTACGATGCACTGTTCCGGGTCTCCTCCCTTGTGCTGAAAGGTCAAGCTTCCTCGTGCAGATACCTCCGCTCGCATTTTAGATGCGACAAAGGATCTTCTCAGGACAGGAAGAATCTTGAGGCTATACTCCATATATCTTAAAAGGCTGCAAGCGAATATTAGCTGCAGACAAGCAGTGTGTCTTTACCTATACAGGGAGAGGAGATTACTAGAGGCAGCCTTGAACAGAACTAAATTTAAAAAATGACATCGGGGTCTTCAGGACCACAGCGTTACACTTTCGCGTTTGAGGAAGGAGGACGGATTAATTACAACATCGAGATTTGAGAGAGAGGAAGTTACACAAAGGTTTCGCACCAAAACGTACCGATCCATGACACGCGTGCGAGAACCAAAAATCCCCACTGGCAAAACAGCTCCTTAGATCTTTCCTTCAAAAGTGAGAATGCTCTTGCGAGCATGAAAAGCAGCACTACTCCAGGCGCCGACGAGAGACTGGGATGATCTTGCAACTACTCCAATAATCCCGTTAAGTGCACTTTACAAGCTTTTCACCAAGATCATTCTAACCCACATGTCGCGAACGTTGGATGAAGCCTAACCTGTAGAGCTAGCCGGATTTTGAAAACCTGCTTAGACCTCATTCGAGCGGTCGCAGTGGTCATCGAAGTGCGTCGAAAACTCCGAATACCTCTTCTCCTTACCTTTGCTGACAATGAAAAAACATTTGACAGCATCAGAACGAATGCGGTCCTGTCATCACTGGTCGATCAAGGAGTGGACACTCTCTACATGGGAACACTGGTTGACTGCAGTAGTCGCTGCAGCGCGATGATGAAGATCTCTCCCCATTCCCATAGGAAAGAGTGTGAGAAAAGGCGACACTACTTCGTCAAAGCTGTTCACAGCCGCGCTGCAGTAGATTATGAAGTCGCTGGACTAGGACGAAAGGGGTATTTGTATGAATGGACGGTTCCTCTCAAAACTCTGTTTTGCGCATAACATCGTTTTCTTTCTAAACAGCACTGCAGAAGTTGAAACTATGCTTGCTGAGCTTAATAAAGCAGGAAAGAAGATAGGGCTGCGGATCGACCTAACAAAGACGCAGTTCATGAAGAATGCTTGGTCTGACGAAGGTCAAATTAAGATTGATGGAGCACCTACCAAGGAGATATCGCCCTACGTTTATCTCGGGCGTCTCATGAATATGGGCAACAATCACCTGTATCACCTGTCGTCCCGTTGATCATCGACTTCCTCGAGCTAGCGCCAGTAACGTCTCAATTCGTCCCTTCAGGCACACGAGGTCCAACATTCCTTTCGTTCAGAGCTTTCGTGAAGAAGACTGATCATCTCGTTGGTGGCCGTCCTGGAGTTCGTTTGATGTCCCGAGGGATCCAGTTAGTTAGCGGCCTGGTCCAACGGTCATCACTATATCGCACAACGTGTCCGGCCCACATGATCCTCGATTCCTTGCCGTAATCATCGGCATACCTGGTCTTCGTATGATGACGGAGCTCGGATCTCCGGATTCCCTTGTGCACTTGCGTGTACAAGGAAATTCCGCGCATCGCCCTTTTCAGAGCGCGTGGAGTAAAGCTGACAGCATGATCATTCTGCTTTCGAAGAGCCCAAGTCTCCGAGGCGTATGTCGAAGCGGTAGAGACCGCAGAATCGGAAAGGTGAGCGCGGAGCCGGATGTTCTTTGTCTTCTTCACTACTCCCTTCACTTCTTGAATGCTCCCCACGCGGCGCGTTTCTTTCTGCACAGCTCCGGAGCTAGGTCGCTCATCATGTTGATTTCGCGACCGATATTCACACAGCTAGAGCACCCGGAGATTCCGTTTAGCGTGAAGGGAGCATCAGGTACCAATCCGTTTTTCATGAACATCGTCTTCGTTGAGTTCAGTCTCAAGTCGATCTTTCTACAAGCACTGTCAAGCTCGACCAGCATTCATTCCGCCTGCTCGATGTTCGGTGTTATAAGCACGATATCGTTTGCAAAGCGGAGGTGATGTGGATAGCGGCAGTCAACCCTCACCCCCAAGTCTTCCCATTCCAAATGACGCATGGTATTCTCGAGAGCAGCACTGAAATGCTTGGACGAAATGGTATCGCCCTGCCGGACACCTCTCTTCACGTTGAGAATGACTTCCTTATAGAATGATGAATTACTAGTCGTGGAATTGGCGTAGTGCTTGCGAAGCATCTTTATATTAAGTAGGAAACCCTGGTTACCTGGGGCTTCAATTACCGCTCCTGCCTCAACGATATCGGAGGCTTTCTTCAAATCGATGAACGTAAGACATAACGGTTTGTACTCTCGCTTTACTTCAATGAGTCTTGTAAGAGTGTGGTTATGATCGACTGCACTGAACCTCTCCGAAACCCTGCTTGCTCGCATAGCTGCCCTTCTCTGCTGATCTTACTTCCCACTTAAACTAAGCATTTCAGCAAAATTTGGGGCGAAGCAACGGTTTGCAACGGATTGACCGTCGGTTGACCATGAAGTGGTAGCAGTATTGCACTCATTCCATTAACTTGTGAATTCACAGTACCTCCCCAGATCCACCTTCTTCGGATCCTTTCTACCATTTACCCTCCTTCAATTCCTTTTTTATTATTATATATTGCCTTCTTTTCATGTATGCTGATATCAGGTGACAGCATTTCTTGAGAGATAGAACTCTTTCTGGAGGCTCACATAATAAAAAAAAATCAAGGGCTGCAGTTGGGCTGCAAGCTGCATCGTCCAAGGGACCTTTATGAGAGGATTAAAGGAAGGGTCAGCGCTGGTGAATCGTTCATGGATCGTTTTTTGTTCACTCAGTTGAGAACCTAATTTCAGTGAGCTTTTGTGGGTCAGTAAAGCACATTGTAAAAATATGCAAGTTGAAAGAAACGTCACCTTGACCAGTGCACTATAGCACTGCAGCATCTCCTCAACGGGTAAACTTCTTTGGAGGCCTACCCCCAGTGGGTGCATACGCCCACTGGGTTGTACATGCAGCGCAACACTCACTGCACGGAGAGCGTTGGAACGATTTATCTTCAGTGTTGACAGATTTTATGATACTATCTATGTTTTCTTTTCGCAAATAGCAAGAGAACATTTATAGGGATAATGTAAAGTTGACCCTTGCTAATACCTTATTTCAGTCGAAGTACCGAATGTTACGGCCACACAACTGCCACCCTCGAGCAGATGCATAAATCGATTGATCCTTCATCGTTAATCGCTTATCCTCTATCTCACTCAGCTATTACATTCGCCTAGTGCAAGTTGCTTTATTGATGGCTCGATGAATGCTATTTGAGCATCTCTTGGGCATGCTGGTGCTCACTCGATTCAGGAATCTAGTTAGGTAAGAATGAATGCCCTTCATGCTGAATGCTGCAGGTTGAACATGGAGCGAGCTAGGAAGAGGTTGTGATTAATTGTGGTCACCCGCCTACGATACCTTGCTTGGGAGATGCTCACCATTCACATGTTCATCTAGTTAGTTGCTGAGCTTTATCAAGTAAAACTCTTTTCCATTGTTTCATACCGGCGAGCAGCTGAAGCCTTCTTCCCAGCTAACAGACCTGAAACGTTTTTCAACCTCATGGCAAGTTTGTTGGAAACAAAGGCAGCCCCTATAGTTATAGCCTGCCTATTTCTATGACAAGATTGGCATGAGGTTGGCATGAGCATTAACCGAACCTGCCTTCAGCTAATCGCGACCGATCGAAAACGGTGCGAAAGGATTTCATAGGCGTGTCGGCTTGAATTCATGCTTTGTTCTGATCACCATGTCAAATACGAATTCACGTAGGTTTACTTGTCTCAACTGAGTTGAACTGACAGCATTGTTTAAGGCTTTTCGCCAACTTATATCGCTCCTGAGGTTCTTTAACGCTTCAGCTCCTCCAGACGCTTTGCGCACTAACTCTGTTTTCAATACATATTGAAATAGTCAGAATACAGCACAACTTTTCCCTGGTTTCTTGACACGAGAACGAGCTCATTGAAACTTTGAAGTACTTTTATTTCGAGCTCTATGCTCAGGATACTTCCCTGCGACCTTTTTCTGAACTCATGTCTATGCTTCGGTCATCAGGTTTGATATAATAATGACATATATTTGTATATCTGATTTTTACCGCTTCTGTTCAGCTTGATATGATCTGATATCATAGCTTCAGATTGCATATGATATCTTTTTTATGCACAAAGTGTACCTGGAAAAACACTTTCGAGTTCTGCGAGTGAACTCTGCTCCGGGAGCAAAGGTCACTTGAAAACAACGAAAAACAAAATTGTTAGGCGCATATAAACTGAATGTCAGCTATGCTGGGATCCGTAGACCATTTATATATCCTATCAACTATCGACTTTATCAATCTGTGAAGCACGTTGATGGACAGTTCAAGTTGCTGTAATCACGTGCTAACACTCTTCTTATCTTACTCCAGGAGAAGGGTATTGACCTTCGAAATGTGACTGTTCAGTCCAAGAAGCTGAAAATTAGCCGTGTAAAACGAGCGTAACAAATGTGCAGCAAATGCATTGGACGACCCTTTTGCTTCTTACTCAGGCTTTCACGAAATTGTGTTATGTACGGGCAGTGAGCGAGACGTCCCCTTACCTAAGAATATACCGTTACTTCTGTATAGTATTCCCTCACCGTCTTATTCGATGTTTTGTGATGTTTCTGCTATATAATTAGTCTACGTACTTCAAGCTTCAGTACAAATGGGCTACCATGAGAAGTATATCTTTTTACAGGGTTTTGATTTTTTTGAACCGCCGTTTTGCGCAAAGATTGGATATTGCTCTGACGTTTCTGTATCTAACTCATTCGATAGTGTTGTTTCAATTGAAACTGTAAGCGGAACAGAGATTTTCAGTGAACAACTGCTATGAGATCGAGTTTGATGAGCTATTGATATGCTGTGTGCCTTCTTTCTCAGCTCATTAGTACTGCGGGTGAGTCGATGTGTATAGTTTAACACGTTGGCGACATGCGTCCCGATGCCAGGATGCACGTTTTTAACTCGCTGGGACAATGCGTCCCGATGCTGGGACGTAGGATAAAAGTAATAATATTTTTGTAATTCATGTTTGAAAAAAAAGAACATTAACTCATTGGCGACCGCGTCTTTCATATTGTCCTTATATTACCCTTCCACTTCTCTTATAACTGTAGTTGGAAGTGATTGGTTCCTGGACCACAATGTCTCAAGATTCTCTAGAAGGCTGTGAACTCAGCTGATACTCGAAAACATGAAAAAAAATTATAAGAATACTTGATAAATAATATAAATATCATAGGGGCCCGATATGGTGTGGCCCACCGGCGGGCCACGCAGTCGTCCCACGCGGCGCGTGGTCAAAAAATGCTGCGGTCGCCAACGTGTTAAAACAGCTGCAGCTTTTTCAACCTAGGCAACAATTTCGGTAAGGTATCAATGGAGGCTGAATATGATAGCAAAAGAGCATGGATGCACCCACATCGCCTCAGTAATAACTGATACACTTCGAAGAAAATGGGATCAATTTGGGGAGTGTTCCGGAGCTCAACAGGAATTTGATTTACAGTTACCCCGAAAATGTGAGCAGAATCGTTTTAACTTTCACAGCGATGCTTCGAATATGAGTTTTCTGCTACTTGTTGTTATTCGCTGTAGTTGACTGAAGCTCCAAGATGATAACGATTTGACTTATTCTTTTTCGGAGCTCCTTCAAATATAATTCATAGAATGAAAACTTTGATATACTGAGATTAACTGCTCGACTGTGAAGGTTGGTGAGAGAAATTACGTAGCTCATCATCCTACTTTTGCTCCCTGCAGCTAATCGTTTCACTAGGATCTAGCTCTTTGGTAGGGGATCCCAACTCAATGCTGTTGTTAAAATCGATTTTCATTGTTTTTCCTTGGACTATTTCTATTTTCAGTACACTTGTTGAGTTATCTTCCTTTTTTGTAAAAATGCAGAAACAGGGAGCATTCACATGCACTTAATGCCATCAGCTTGTCTTACCGCTGTGTATTCCAAGTCGTGGGCACTCGAATTGATACATCTTCATGACGGTTCACCGCTTTTCGGAGAAGAACTGGTCTCTCCAAATGGAAAACACCTTACACAGTTCCTCGGGATCCCTTTTGCAGAACCTCCAATTGGGAAACTTCGGTTAGTTAAACTTCTTGCATTTTTTTCTTTTTTCTTCATTTCCAGTATTTTCATTTTTCATCGGTATAGCTTTCATACGATTATGCCACCCAGTGGTTTTCCTGAGAGCAATCTTATCAGGATATTTTCTAGGTTCCAGAAACCGAAAATTAAGATGCCATGGCGAATCCCACTCAATGCTACCATTCTTCCCAACTCTTGCATACAGGTACAGGATTAGTATAGTCCGGAACGAACCATAGATCATATAAACAAAGACGAGGCGAATATCGATTCAGTTGATTGCTTGATTGCTCTCTACGTAGACACCAGTGGCTTATAGCATCAATGCATTCAACGAAAAAATTTTGAGCTTCGAATGGCCTGTTTTATGCCTTTACAACAGAAAACTCAAAACTTCTATTGGAAGATTCCCTTCATATTCCATCTTTTGTATGAAATCATTCAAAGGTTAATATGCAGAGAAAAATGGAAAGAAAGGGTCGCAGATCTGAACACTACACATTTCCGAAGTAAATGAAATGCGAGGTTCTTGTGAAATATTACCCCGGCTTATCTCCCCTGGTAGAAACCTTTTTTTGAGGAAAGTTGAACTACTCGAACTGTTGTTTGTAGATGTGGTAGGAGTTGATTAATTCATGCAACTGTTGTTATAAAAACTCTTGGTGAAATCATCCACCTATATCTATCTTCCTACTCTTGCAAAGCTCTGGGCTTCTAATCATGCTGGCTTTCCTATAGACTGTTTGGTATTCCCTGTACGAGCGCAAACCATCAAATACCATGTCTCTGTTCTTCTTGGTGGGTGGGGCTTTGTGCCTCCCGCAAATTAACAAGGCATCCTCATTTCAGTATAATAAAGCAACAGTATGATTCTTACTAACCAAACAGCACTCATCGTTGCCAAACATTCTGAGATTTATAAGGGCACATTACATCCTGCGCTTTGGATAATGGAAGCGCCGTGGATTCCTGAACTCTCTCCATTCTTTGTCTAGCCCATTAAAACAGCGTGGCCTGCCGGCGAGCCACACCATATCGTGCTCCTGGAATCGCGCGGCTCGTGGGCGGGGTCGTGGGTAGTGTTTTAATTATTTATTGTACGTTTGTATATTTTTTAAGCCTTCGGTGTACCAGCTAGGCTCACGACCTTTTAAAGGATTTTAATGGGTTGTGGTTCAAGGACCAATCTTTTCTAACTATACGCTTGAAAGAAAAAGGATGATTACGTAAGTCAGTAATAAAATGAGCATGGTTAAACATTATCAACTGTTCAATTGCATATATATTAACTGTTTAGGAAAACGTTCAAAACAAAGTTTTTGTTACACTCGATGCATTTTGACGAGACCCTTTGACTGAATAATGAGAACAATTTTTTCCTTCGAACGTTCCATGAAGCAACCAGTGCATCTTCACTGGCTCTCTCTTACTTTCAATTTTGATGGTGAACTATTTTCGGAGTGCGAAGCTTGCCGAAAATAACTTGAAGTAAAGTTCTACAGGGTTCAACATAACACTATCTGCCTACAACCAATCTATCCAACAGTTTCTCGGGATTTCATCCTCATTGTCTAGACAAAGTTTTATTATATTTCGTTGGGTCTGGTTCCAGAGCTCAGATGATTTAAAGATAGGTCGAGAGCAATTTCCTATTTTCTGTAGAGCTTGACAAAATAACAATAGGTGTTGCAATGAACGAACGTTTCGTGGATGATTGTTCACTTCTTCTGTGGCATCTCAATGGAACTTCATTGCAAAGAACGGGTGCGTAAAAATCAGCTTCCTTCTCTGACCGTGTGGCCACAGCACCAGCCCACGAGGGGGCGAAATGTCCTTGCGATTCGAGCTGCGCGGGGTGAATTGCGCGGCACAATTCGTAGTTGACGACTTCAGCGCTCATTGTTGGGGCCCAAATTCGAAGAAGAGTAGACTAGAAGTATCGGCTGGCCTACTAATCTCTTTTACTTCAAGTTTGTACCCCAATGATAGGCGCCAGAGTTGCTCGAATCGTCATGATTTTCGCCGCGCAACTTGCCGCACACAGCTCGAATCGCGCAGTGCACCCATGCCCAGCCCGCGAAGAGCGCGCTTGGTCCCACACGCTAGACAATCTAAAGGAGCGCGCTCATCAATTAGCTAGTGATCGCAGTTTGAACCCTAGGTAGTCAGAGCTCTCATTTTTTAAGGATGACGACAATGGCATTGTCTCTCATGCTAGCTGTCATTCTTTCTTGGACTACTGCAGCATTCAGGGAGCGAATGAGTGGAAATATCCTTTAGCTCCTTCCATGCCTCGTTTTGAGTCCCATACAAGCCGATTGCTCTCCAAACTCCACCCTATTGGTTCCATTTTTCTACAGAACTTACCCTCTGTGCGAAGTGCGATTGAACCAACCGTCGCATCTCTAACCCTAGCTGCTGTGGGAATTGTCCAGAAGCTACTATAGTTATTCTTCACCTCCGGTTGTTTATGACTAGGTCGATTAGAACTAATCACCTTCTGTTGTCTAGGATCAGCTCGACTAGCATGAAATTTTTCCTAGTGTTTACAACCTCCATGCCATGCTCTGTGTATCCGTATTATAAATCACGTTCGAAATGCAAAATTCTTTGCCTACCTACAGTTCATCTTCCCGCCCTGAACCCATTCAATTTCATTCATGGTCATAACAGTCCTTGCGGACTGCTTATTTTTCATCTGTATCGTTTATCTGATGCTTGATCATCGAAGTCGTCGACATGAAGTGAAGCATTCTCATTCAGTAGAGTCTAACCCCTAGAGGAACTCGAAGAATATTTTTTCTTAGTGAAAAGTCTGACCAATGGGCCAGCTGCCCTAGTGGTGTTCGTTTCATGCCACGCGTGACCAATTCAGTATCCGCTTTCAACGGTAATTACAAAATCCCTGAAGTCTGCCGCCACACGCCACATGGTCTTCTACTCGATATTACTTTTCAAAAACTCTCAAGCGGGCAGTCTTCGCTACAAAATTAAGGACTTGAATAAAGGCGTATGCGTTTCTTAGCCAGGGGGTAGTCCACCGATATCATACTCAGACCTTAATTTGATCTCCTAACAGCCCAGAGTTGGAGGAAAATGATCAAATATGAGAGATGGGTCAGTAAATGAAATGAAGGAGAGCCGCCAGCGTTGGGAGGAGCGCTCTGGCAGTTAGCATTACTTTCTAAAATATCCCATAGCTTCACTCTACGGAGGCGTGGAGGCTAGAAGGCTTCGTAAGACTAGTAAGCGAAACATAATCCGTAGTGAGTATGCGCTTGTAACGTCTTTCACGCTGATCATACCTTCCTTTCTTTTTGCCGCAGAATGGACATTGTTTGGTTTTTCAATCACAAGGCGATCACACTTCCAAAAAAGAGGAGGAAGGGTGGGAAGACTTCTTCATTGGCATCAGTTGGCATCAGACATCGTCGTTTCTCTGTTGACTGTTTTCCATCTTGTTATATCTCCAAGGCCAATATTCCAAACAAAATTTGGAAGGTAAACTGATGGCTTGGGAGATCCCTCCGCTCTCAGGTTCTTCACTCTAGATGTGTGTCTACCATAAAGAAAAGTAACTTGAGCGGAATTTCGGGTAAAACAAAGTCATGTGCAGTGTTGCGAGGTATCGTGCGTAAAAAATGTCACCTGTATATCATCTGTGTCACCTGTCGTTCCGTTGATCATCGATCTCATCAAGAATATGTCAGTAACGTCTTCACTCGTCCATGTCGCGAGCCAGAGTTGGGTTGTTCTCGTTCGAGGGGCGCGAGGCCACATTTCTTTTGTTCAGAGTTTTCGGCAGGAAGTCTTACGATCGCACTGACTATCGTCCTGGTGTTCGTTTGGAGTCTCGAGGGAGCCAGTTGGAAACAGCCCTGGGATGACAATATCGCATGAGGTGTCCCACCTTCCTGATCTTCAAGTTCTTCAAATGAGCAACTGCATGCTTGGTTTTCCTTCATTCTCCAGAGGTCTGAACTCCGGATTCTCTTCTACACTTGCGTGGATAGGGAAATCCCGAGCATGGTCTTCTCCAGTGTGGCGCTGCCAGCATGTTCATTCTACTTTTGCAGAGTTCAATTGTGTCAAAGCAGGAAGCTTCTCTTGCGGTGCATCTCCTTCAGCTCAACTCTGAAGTTAGGTCGTTCATCATTTTGATTTTCCGACCTAGATACATGTAGCTATAGCAATCGGAGACATTCTTTTCATTTGACGTGAGGGGAGCATCAGGTTGTAATCCGTTTCTTATGAACATCGCCTTTAAAGAATAGGTCCAAAGCAGGTCTTCCTGAAAGCGCTAGCAAATTCGGCCAGAATTCATTCCACCTTTTCTTACTCGGTGTTATAAGCACGACGTCGTCTGCAAAGCAGAGGCGATGTGAGTAGAGGCCGTCGACCTTCCTCTCAAGTCATACCATTCCAAATGACGCATAATGTATTCGAGAGCGACATTGAATTATTTGGACGAAATGGTATCATCATATCGAACCTCTCTCTTCACGTTACAATGTCTTGCTCATAGAATATCGGAATCCTGGTTGTCGCAAAACTCACGGAGAGTCTTTACGTACTGGGTGGAAACACTATGGCTGACGTGGAATTTAATTATCGCTTCTGTGTGGACAGTGTCGAAGGCCTCTTCAAATCGATGAACGTCAGATATGCAGAGACAAGGCATAATGTATTCTCGCAATACTTCAATGAGTTTTGTAACAGTGTGTATGTGGTTGACGTACTGAACTCTCTCGGAGACCGTGCTTGCCCCCATGGCTGTTTTTCTTCTGATATTCTGTCAGTCCTGAGGATGAAACGTGTAAAAAGTTTGTAGATTACGTACAGCACGCAGACGAAGTTATATACTTGCCAATATCGTCGGGACCGGGGCCCTTACAATTCTTCATCAACTCGATGACATGTCGAATTTCGGAAGGGAGAATCGAGGGAGCGACATATTCGTCTTGCCTGAGATGATAGGTCGGCACCTAAACGTCGCTGTCGAAGAGACTCGAGTAGGAGTCGCGGACGATCTTCTTCATACGGGATGCAGACACTAATGTATTCTGTCAAGACGAGTGAGGGAACTCATCCTGATCTCATAATTCGTGCCTTTGCGAAAGCTCTTTCGGGCCTTGGTAGCTTTGTCCATAACTGCTGCTCTTCCCTCTTTCAGATTTTTTCCATCGCTCCTCTGAATAACTCCGCAATTTCGGACGTTGCTCGATGGCTGCCTGTAGCTCGTGCGGTTCCACGTTGGCGTATCACCTCAAGGGTGTCCGAAAAGAGACACCCCTTGGCTATTATCTGCTTTCCCAGCATTATCGTGATGATGTTTGGAAGGCTGGTTGTTTTCTTCATCGATGTTGTCAATAGCGGAATATTCTGATAGACTCGCTAGAGAACCGAGGTATTCTCAGTTGATAATGGACTTGGGCGACTCCCGTGTCCTTCGCAAATGAGAGAGTTTCTGGCATTGAGTCCCGATGGATAGTGAGAGTCGGCATGATGAGCTCGGCAGTTTTTTTTCATTCCAATCTATTCCGTGAGTTCTGATGTGGAGCTCTTCAGCCGTCTTTGGCCAATATTGGCGTTGAAATCACTGGCGATGACCTTGAAGAAAGTATGATCGTCTCCTTTTCTATATATGACGCTTTCTGCTCTCCTTCTTCGCAGCTCGATGTTGTTGCGCTTCCAACGAAGATTGCTAGAGCTGAGTTGGACCGCATCTTCTTAATCTCAAGAGTCCAATCCGAGTTGTCAAGCCTTTGTATCAATCATTGTTCATGGCATATGCGTCGACCAGAACACCTATTCTGCCGACGCCTCTGCCGTCGCATTTTCCAAGGAACACTTATTCGCTATCAGAAAATGGCGTGCAGCGGGCGGTAAATCTTCGGCTCGGTCAATCCAATGACGACGTTCTTGTTCTCCCTAGCTCGCATCATCAGGTCTTCTCTACATGCTTCTTATGCGAGCGTCCGTGCGTTGAAAGTACAGATCGCCATCTCAGTCATGCTCCTTCTGGGCAGCCTGTTTTGGCCCTGAGACTTTAACAGAGTCTCTCTCGAGCGGTCTTACCCAACGCTGCTTTGTTGGGGGCTCTCTGGGCTCAAGGGAATGAGGACCATTTGTTCTTTAGATTGTGGCATATGCGTTTTCACGAGTAGCTTGCCAAGCTCTAACGTGGAGATTTGGTTGACTCCAGATAGCCAGCCGGTTATCCCAAAGCGGGCGAAGACCCTTCATTGGTGAGGCGGTCCCGAATTCTAATCATCCGCAAGCAATTGTATTCGGAAAAGGGGTTCCAATCGAACGGGACGACTGTCATGAGGCTGTTCGCTGACCTGTCCACGCATCGCAACACAAGAAACTGTATTTGAAATGAGAGCAAAACAGATATGTGAGCTGAGGTATATGCTAAACATGGAAAAGGCCAGATTTGAAAAAACCCCTCCAAGATGGAAATTGCGGACATCCGTGAAGTTGTTTCTATGACTATACAACCGATAGCTTTTGTATATATATATATATTTATATGTATATATATATACATGTATATCGCAGAAGTCGGTTCAAGTCCTTGATAGAATGGTCATAGAATATGACTAACAGAACACATGTAAGCATAGCGGAGCTCAGCACGGAGGGGGCAGGTTTTGCACAGAAATGAGTGTCACTTGCAAAACGTCGTGACTAGGTCACATATTAGCTCAGAAGCCGGGAAAAAATGAGCACTAGTGAAGAATGATTCAACAACTGGGCTGAAAGAAACTCACCAGCAGTGAGAGGAGCGTTTTCGCAGAGGGCGGCTTCTCCAACATAAGTTCATAACTCGATTCAACGAAATCAAGAGGCCAAAAAGCAGAGGGCGGCTTTTCCAACATAAGTTCATAACTCGATTCAACGAAATCAAGAGGCCAAAAAGCAAAAAGAGTGAACAAGGCCTTTCGCGTTTCGGGCATGCATGGATCGGGCGAGGTCACAACTACGGTGAGCGGGCGTGCGTTCGAATAGAGCCTGGTTTTTGGAAACATGCATAATTCTGGTCAAAAACGTCCACGAAAATCGGTAAAAAAGGACTAGAGGTAATTTGAAAAGATGATCGAGTTCCTAAAGTGGGCTTTTTCTCATATCACCGTGAATACCTGAAAAAGTGAACAGAGCATACCGGGGGAAGTAGTAAAAACCTCTACAGATTGTGATGTTTGATTTAGGGTCACCGGAACCTTGATAAAAAACACTTGTTTTGGCTCATATTATTCTAAAGACCTGAAAAAGTGAGCAGGGCATACGAGAGGAAGCAGTAAAAACTTTACAGGTTGTGATATGAGCCCTAAGGTGAGTGGGCCCTTAATGAAAAACTTATATTGACTCAAATTGTTTTAAAGACCTAAAAAAGTTAACAGAGCTATGGGAGAAAGTAGCAAAAACCTTCACAGATTGTGATGAGAGATTTCAGTATTAGAGGGTCAGTGGGACCTTGACAAAATTCCCTTGCCTGTGTTGCCTTAGATTATTCTAAAGGCATGAAAAAGTGAGCAGAGCATACCAGAGGAAGCAGAAGAAGCCTACACAGGTTGTGATATGAGTCCTAAGGTGAACGGGACCTAAGTGAAGTTTTTTATATTTTATGTTTTGATATTATCAGGTCTTTAGAAAAATTTGAGCCACTATAAGGATATTTGTTCAGGTTCCACTGACCTTAGAGCTCACATCACAATCTGTAAAGGTTCTTACTACTTCCTCCCGTATGCTCTGTTCACTTTTTGCCCAGGGTACTCCTACCAAAAATGAACTTTTCAGGTCCACGGGGACTGGAGTTACAATTTTCCGTTAGAACACTTATTTCGCACAAACCCTGCCCCCCATGGTCGGTAACGTTACTTCTGTCTTACATTATAATGATGACCAACGGTTTAGAAGAAATAAACACAAGATCTCAAGCTTGAAACAAGACCGAAGTGCCCCATAATCTCCCTTTGTATCATTTATACCCTTTGTTACGGTAGGCTTCGCCTATCGTGAGGTCTCTCACGACACTCCGCGCCGGGGGTTCCAAACAAAAAGTTTTTACGACCGGAAAACTCTTCTGACCGAAAGTTGATGAGCGTGCACCAGCTATCATCAGTGAGCTTCCCTCACCGTCCATCCTGCCTACGTTGCAGTTGACCCCTCGGTTTTATTGGGCTAAACAAAATTTATTTGTGTGGAGGACCACCCCTCCGGCGCCGAGCTGAGCTTGACGGGCTTATCAAATCAACCAGATAAAAGGTTCATCAAACAATACTAATTATTATTTGATCGACCACCGCATTGAAACTATGAATTGAAAAACATCAAACACATCAGTGTACTCAAAAAATCAAATATTCATTAACCATTTTCCATCGCTGCGTGGCCATTGTAGCCAAGGCGGTCTATGAGCGGGAAGCTGGAAAGATGTCATGAAGCGTCTTTTTTTTTGAAGCTTTCGATTATAAGCTTGTGTATGCGATTCATGGCAGGAATGTGTACGACGGATCTATGTGGATTGATTACGAGGTCGTCCCGGCTCCCGCGCAGCCTATTCGGTGGGGAACGTGAATGTGCAAAGAGCGGATACATGTGTCCTTGGGTTCCTGTCATGTTCTTGGCTACAAAAGTAACACGGAACTAGCTGACAATTACCTCCAGGGGACATGTGTTGTTGGAAACACCAAAATTAAATGTTCAACTCGTGCATACGATTACGTCGGGCCGAGACCGTGACGTAAACGTCGCATTCCGTTGCGAACACATGTGTGTTCGATCCACAAAGGAACTTACAACGTCCTCGCCTCATAAGCGGTGTGCCTTGTTGTTCCGATGGCTGTCCTCTGTTTGTTTGCAAGGAGGGTTGGACGGTGGCGACTGGCGGAGTAAAAGTGAGCGACGATTGTAGCTGATTTTCGACGAAAATTATATTGTCCTTGGCTTTCTTTGCGATAGCCTGAAGGGATCGCATAGATTGAGCTAGCTAATAACAGAAGGTCGCTTTTTATTTTTACTTACCCGGAGAGGACGTCTCCGTCCTTTCCCCGGGCGTGACCTTTTTTGAAACTTTAGGATCGCTTCTTGAAAAAAAACCATAGGAAGCAACAAACTTCGAAAGGGTTACATGGTTGCATACCTCCTTTTCATACGCGTCTTGACGAAGAAGTTCGAGTTCCGAGGTCAACTTAGCTACGGTTTTCTTGATGAGTTCGATGCTGTTTGTTAGAGACTCTTCATTGCAAGCGTTGACTGCTGGCTGTTCTTCCCCACTTTGCGAAGAATTTTCAGAATGCTCCATATCCTCATCAGCCATTCTGAAAAGTATTTACTTCTGCCCGAAATTTCGAATAAACTGTAATGTTCCTGCAAGTTCGGGTATTACCGTATTAGAGCCACAACGAGCTTTACATAGTTCTCTGATCTGTGCGTTAGAAAATGAAAATCGTATGTTTGTTGTTTTCGAATTCCGAGAGCAAGGTATGGCGAAGAAGTGAGTGTTACAATCTATTTGGGCTAGCGTGTTTTCTATGTTCGATTTACACGTGAAGCTTGCTGTTGCGCCTTGCGTGCAGCTGTAGCACCCTGTTAGATGTGAGGTTACGATGGAGCAATTGAAATCGTCAATGATATTTCTGATGTGTGCCTTTGAAACTTTCACAGATAATGTTATTTCGACTGGAGCTAGCTGAGTTGTTACCATGGGATACCGATCATTCTCGGAGTATGGTTCGATTAGGAAATCGGGAAATGTCAACGGTAACATTGACCTTAATGTGAAAAGTTGGCTAGGGTTTTCTTCCTTGCAATAGCAATTCACTTCATTCTCTGCTGGTGTAAACTTACAAGTGCCCCGTACAGAACAATTAATGAAGTGAGTTGCGTTAACGTCGAGGCACCTATATGCCAAATCTATATTTTGCGAAAACAGCCATTTGCTTATTGTTACGAATAAAATGCGAACGTAAGAAAGGAATGGGTGGGATGGATGTGCTTGTTATGAAAAAGGTATTGTCGAAGACAGTTTTCTGTGCGTTCGGAGGAATCGATAGCCGAAAGAAGTGGCTTTTCCCCTGCGAACGGTTAATTTCGAATTGAAGTTGGATAAGTTCCGGCCATGTAGGACAATTCATGACTTCATACGTACGATTAGCTATGGGTTCCTTATAGACGCGATAAAATAGACAACCCGATGATGGAAGTCCACAGCCGCAACCCCAAAAGCCACACGATTCCGTACAATAGGTTATGCCAGGGAACTCATTAGCTTCCGACAGTTCTTCAATGAGCGAATTAGCATTTACGACTCCGCACTTACGTCCGGAGCAAGAGCCCCTACTAGAACATCTTTTACGAGATTGGATTTTAGTCTTTACATTACGCGTGTAATAAAGGATATTAGAGTCGCACTTGAGACTAGTTCGTAGCAAGGTTATACGAAGCTGTTCTTTCAGGGTTCCGTTAGTCTTTATAGATATAAATACATGCTTCTTTAGCGAAGCGGCTTATTTTCAGAAGTATGTTTTCGACTTCATGACAATTCAGTTCAGTTATCAGGTGCGCGTGGGCAAAGCATTGTCCAAGTCGTTTACGGTTACAAGTGGAGTACCCCAGGGTGGTGTTCTGTCCCCGCTACTCTTTTCGATTTATACATGTGATTTGCCAAGTGCCATCTCAAGTCTTGGAGTAACATGTTTGATNTAAAACGTATGTCAGACCCATACTTGAGTCAGGGACAACAGTTTTCTTTCCCTCCAAGAAAAAGGACATTCGTCTTTTAGAGAGTGTCCAGAATAGCTTTACCCGTAAACTCGCTATGCGGTGTTCTGGTTTGAGCTATGAGTTTATTCCTGACGGGGTACAACGTCGTCGTATTTTTTCGCTTTCAAGTCTCTTAGTCCGAAGAAAGGTTAATGACATAGTGATGGCTCTCAAAATTCTTAGCGGGAAAGTTGAGCTCGACGCCGGTAGTTTCTTCACTAAGGTCGTTTCTAGAACTAGAGGTAGTGTCATTAAAATCAAAACCCCGGTTGTTAGAACTCAGGTTCGTCACAATTACTTTTCTATCAGAGTTATATCCTTTCTCAACAAAATCCTCCAGGTAGGCAACTTGCACATTTCTTTGCGCTCACTTAAGAATTTGGCCGAAAAAATGCTTAGAGAGGATTCCTGCACGCTTTCAAGCTGATCTTGATCAACGTCATAATTTTGGTTGTCTTCTCTTTTCTTTTAGCCACGTAATGCTTCATCATGTTTACTATTTTTTTTCCCTTCATTCCAGTTGTTATACTTATTTCTGTTATGACACTTGCTAGAGTTGTGTTGGATGCTTCACTTGTTGTAGGTTTTAGCTCACGTGGACTTTGTCTGCGTCAATAAATGAAATGAAAATTCGCAGTATTGCGAGAGCATGTGATTTGATCGGTAGAAATGGTGAAGGCTTGTTGACAGCCTAAGCTAGGTGAAATCATTATGCTTATCATTACGATTGAGAAGATGTTTACGAAAGCGGAACGCTTAAATTGAGAGCCATGTGAGGAAATGTTAACTAGTGGAACGGTTTCGACTGAATACGAGTACGAAGGAAATATCCGATTCCAAAACGTTCGAATGGAGCGGAGAAGACGTCTGCCTTTACACAATGTCAAGAAAATAGACATGCTGACACTATAAAAAAGCAGTACCACCATTGCGATTGCTGTGCGAGGCCAACAGTTGGGATTGTTGATCAGAGAGCGCAGAAGTTGCAGTCGATCATCTCGCAGAAAGGACTGGGCGGGCATGTTCGAGATATGATGATATTCTCATGTTCGAAGCTAGCTTTAACGCGAACGTCATAGGCATGTAAACACACGCTTGCTGGGAACATTATCGTGGTCTCGTCGTCAAAGATTCGCGTTTCGATACAGTGATTTTGCGCACAGGCTTGAATGTCGGAGAAAGGGTTCAGGTTACGAATGAATATCCCACCTTTAACGCACAAAACGTTGATGGGAGCAGCTTTCGTAGGGAGTTCCGAAGCCTTCGAAGGAGTTACGAGCTCAAAAGTCACTAACGTTATGGCTAGGATAAGCAGAGCATTCGAAACATTGAAAAAGAAGCTTGGAATGACGTCTACATTCTCCGAGTACCGTACATGTTTTTTCGCGTTGCGAGGCGGTTGTTTTCGTGTCGGCGCAGCATCGCCGTCCGACCTCGCAGCTATGCAAGCTTGCTGATCTTTGTTCTGATTGTTTTTTATAAGAATTCATTTGAAACCGATATTTCGAGTGGGATGAATTGGTTTATCGATCTTTTCGTAGTGATCTTGTTCGATTTACGTACGCTTACTGCCCCTGGTGTAGAGCTGTTATTATTCCGAGGTTCCAATGGGAACGTGGACTCTTATCATCCTCAATCAAGACAACAGCTCCAATGTGGGGTACAATCCCAGAGGACCGGGTTGAAGAGAGAATCCCTTAAAAACTTCAGTGAAGTGAGATAAACTTGGGACCACATGTTCCAGAACTGTGCGAGTGAATCTTTTGTTTCTTTCTAAAGTTTTTCCACGTCTCTGTTTGTTCCGATGAGCTTGTATTCCGGATCGTAGTCAGGTTCATATATCCACGGAGTAATATTTGCGTGAGGGCGGAGAAAATCGACCGGGCGTATAGGTAATGAGTCTTTAATGTCTGATGAAACATAAGTTAACGGCCGACTATTTACGATCGCCTCGCATTCTGTTTTTACAGTTAGGAACTCGTCGTCTGATACGAATTTTCCCCTCATAGTTTTGCGCAAACATGATTTGACTGAACCTATTAGACGCTCATAAAACCCACCCTTCCAAGGTGAAAGTGGAGTAATAAAATTCCACTGTATCCCGCGATTTACAAGGAAATTGTTCATGTCATCTATAGGTTTCGATGTTTCGAAAAGTGTTTTAACGATTGCACTACCTGATTCAAATGTAGTGGCATTGTCCGAACTTACGGTTTTTGGTGGACCGCGACGCGACATGAAACGGCGTAAAGCGCGGATGAACTCGATTACCGTTAAGCCTTGTATGATTTCGAGATGAATCGCGCGTGTGCTCATACAAGTAATTAGACATATCCACCGTTTTTCGTGCAGTGTCCCCGACACCTTGACCGTAAACGGACCTGCATAATCTATTCCGACGTGTTCGAAAGGGCGTGATATGCGAACTCTTCCTTCAGGTAGTGGAGGAGGTTCAGGGTACTTGTATGGTAAACCTTGAGCTTTCTTTCACACAATACATTTTCGAAGGACCTTTTTGGTAGTTTGGCGACCTTGTGGTATCCAGAAGTATCTTTGTATCTCCGAAAGAGTAGCGTTTACCCCTTGATGTCCGATTTTTTCGTGAGTATCCCTTATTATTATTCGAGTCATTATATGATTAGGTAGAAGGAGGACGGAATTGGTTGTTTCGTATCCCAGGTTCGAATTTCCAAGGCGTTCTCTACAACGGTATATGTAGTTTTTTCGACGTTAGGTTCAAATACTTGTAGGAGTGGAGCTTTTTTTCGGTCATGGTACGATAATGGTCTCTAATTAAGTCGTTTTCGGCTAACCGAAGGTCTCTTGCATTGATGTGTTCTCCTTCCGAAATATAATATAGTTCCGGACACTGGCCATTGTTCTGTAAATTCTGTTCCCTATAGCGTGATATCGAACTGAGCTTTATAAATTTCAAAACTATGGCCGCTGCACGCTTCATCTTGGTCCAACTTGATTCGCCATAACGGAAAACGGAAGCTATAACGGAAAATTGTTGAACGCTCATTCACCTCTATACAGTGCAGTTGTAGCATCACCTCCGATTCCGACCATTTCATCTGTAACTTATGACGGACCGCCATTCTTCCGAGGGACATTTGAGAAAATCTGGTCATGTCCACCAGCGATGGTCTTCCAGTCCATTGCTGGCGAGACCTCGCGTGGCACAGTCTGCTAAATTGTCGTTGCTGTTGACGAACTAATAACTGCAATTAATCCTCTTACATATCCATGATTGATAAATAGCCCACATCCTCTGAACGCGAATATTTACGAGAGTGCCCGCATTTTGACCCGAAAGAAGTTGCGATAGTGCAATGTTACTGTCCGAGAAGATGCGAATTGTTCCGATTTAAAAAGGTCAAGTTCGTTAAGGATAAAGTCTGTCAGTTGTGTTACGATGAATAGTGCCAAGAGTTCTAGCTCAGGTATCGTCATCGTTTTTCGTTCCGTAAGGTAACTTATAGGTGCGAGACGATACCTGGCACATATCAAATCCGTGTCGATACTGTTATCGTGAATCTTACGAAGATAACAACAAGTTGCATAGGCATTGATGGATGCGTCGGCAAAGGTACAAAGTTCGAGTTTTTCCTCTGGATCGGAAACGTAGATGCTGCGATGTAGGCGTTTCGAAAACGTGCTTGCTTCCATGCAAGTCGATTTCCAACGTTCTATGTCTTGATCCGATAACTCCTCATCCCATTCATATCCCTTGGCCCACAGGCTTTGTAGAAATATTTGAGCTGGTATCAAAAGTGAGATCAAGAATCCTAGAGGATCAAAATTAGAGTGGATAGTGCGAAGTATACTACGTTTTGTTGGGTTACTTTCGAATTCGAGTTGCGATCGAATCAGTAAGTGGCCTTTCGTCCTATCCCAGAAGATGCCCAATAATTTTATTACTGTAGCACTGCCCCTGTCCTTTTCTGGAATACAAGCTTGTAGTTGAGCTGAGTTCGTTGCGAATTCACGCAGGTTCATGGACATATCATCGAAAATCTTTTTGCTCAGTAGATATTTCGACTTAGCTTCTTCTTCTGAGGCCGCGCTTAGAATCATATTATCCACGTAAAGATTGCGAGCAATTTCTTTACGTACGGTTCTATTGCTATTCTTTTCGAGCATAAATTTAATAGACATAGCTAATAGGGAAGGACTGGTTTTAGTGCCGAATGGTACCCTTGTGAAACGAAGTTCCCGAATGTTTTCGGGGTTGGGTGATTTCGTCGTATCCTTTAACCATAAAAATCGTGTGGCATCACGTTCCGATTCTTGCAGGCGGATCATATGAAATGCTTTTTCAACATCTCCTATGATCTAGTGTTTTCCTATGCGAGTACGAATGAGGACGCCTAGTAAATCCGGGAGTATTGTAGGCCCTTTATAAAGTACATCATTCTGATAATTGACCTACTTTGTTCGAACTAGCATCTAGCACGATTCTCACTTTCGCTGTAGTACTTGTGGGTTTTATGACTGCCTGGTGAGAAATATAATAAATGGGACAGTCATTGCTATTACCTGAGCGCGGTACATCCTCTGTAATTTTGCGCTGGAGTTGTTCCTCGATTATGTTTCTGTACGCTGACCATATTTCATTATTTCTACGGAGAGAATTATATAATTAATGGAGACGACTAAGAGCGGCCTTATATTAGGTTGATGCATAATTATTGCGGATTTTTTCGCGGCTTTTTTCTTTCGAGAGAATTTGAATATCGAGTTCGGGTTTTTTCTAGAAATGATCTACTTGATTTCCTCTACAAGAACATACCCAAGAAACCATTGGCATGTTCGCAAAATTAGGCTAAACTACTTCGAGAAAGATTGGGAGGTGGTGCAGGCATTCCGCAATCTCAGTAACTTTTCAGCGATCATTCATTAAGTGATCTAGTGGAAGTACACATGATTTCCTGGCGGTCAAACACGATTATTTTGATATTCTTTATTTCCCCTGCTGTTGCCCCTATAATTTAGGTTGATTCATTATTATTGCGAGTTTTTCTCAGCAAATTTCACTTAAAAAAAAACATAGAAATACTAAGCAAAGACATATTCAAATAATTACTCCGGAACTTATTCACCATTTACGTCAGGCACTGCTTCGCAATGATTAGTTGGACGGGTCCCAAAAGCGAAGAAGTTTCGATCCTTACGGGCGATCCACGCCTTGACATCGGCCATCAAGTCATCCAAATCGACGTAACTTCTGTTCTCTAGCCATTTTTTTGATGAACGGTTGATGAGATAATCCATAAAAGTTCCTGCTGGTGAATATGGCAGATTTGAGGGCAGATCCCATTTCTTGGCTAGCTCTGGCTGATTTTTCGATCGCCGAAAAGTTACTGAGATCAGGAATGGCTGTGCCACCTTCCAATCTTTCTCGAAGTAGTTAAGCCTGATTTCGCGAATATGCGGTTGGTTTTTTAAGTATATTCTTGTAGAGGAAATCAAGTGGATCATTTCTGGAAAAAACCCGAACTCGATATCCAAATTCTATCGAGAGAAAAAAGCCGCGAGAAAATCCGCAATAATTATGCGTCAACCTAATAATTGTCACATAGATCCATACGATTCATTTTCCAGGGAAACACTACAAATTTCTTTTTATCTCTTATTTCGATTGTGTCGTAAAAGTCTTGCAGAATCTTTTTATTTTCATCTGTTTCCGAGAGAGATTCTGTTATTCCAAAGTTTTCGAGGGCCCACACTGCTGAAAGATCTAAGTTTGATGTCCCTGGTTGTGCCAGCGTAAAAAACGTGTCACTCGATAGCCATTTTCTTGTTGACGTGTTCGTACTTTCCATTCTCTAGACGATATGACCAAAAAATGTAGGTATTGCGACCAACCCAGATGGTAAAGGTAGGCTAGGCTTAGATGTATTGATGACGTCGTTGTAATGATCAATACCTATAGGTACCTTTGGAATAATTGCGATCTTCCGCATTGAGGAACTGGATTTCGATGTTATTACGAAATGCATAATTGACATCTAGTGTCGACAGACGGGGAATTACTATTGTATCAGTCCAAGTGCCTGTAGTGAGTAGCTTCAATGGTAGTCTCACCAGATATTCCGATAGCATTCGCATGAACCTTTTGCGAGTGTTTTCGCTCCTGCTTCCCTCCGAAGGTTGATAGCAAGTAAATAGTATCTTCTGATGAGGGTAGGCTCAGTTTTTGTGCGAGAAGACTAGATATGAAACTACGTGTAGTTCCTGTATCGAAAAAAGCGTAAATTTGCTCCCTTTTTAGCGATGTCGGATTACATAGAGTTATCGCCGCTATCATTAAGCGCGAGGGAATTTCTGCCTTTACGTATACGTTATTCATATGAATTACCCCTTCTGAGTCGGATCCCGAGTCAGAGAGATCTGTTGTGGATACCGAATTGACAATCATAGTGGTCGCTCACCAGAACGCCTAAGCATAGGTGTTGGAGATCTCGTAGCGGGTAGCGTCCTTTTGAACCCTATTTCCACTGAAGGTGACCTCTCTGAAGAGCACTTGTGAGTATGGCTTCGAGGAGGCAGAGAGCGAGAAGATGATCGTTCTCTGGAATTTGTACGAGATCTTGAGGATCTTTTACGGCTTCCGCCTCTGCTTTCCAAATCAACTGTCTGGAAGTGTGAATATTTCGATGTACGAAAGCTCCGATGCAGGTGACCTACTCGGTTGGGACTTGGGCTACGACTTTTGCTACGACTGGGCCTACAAAGCACTATATTGTGGGGACCATTACAATTGCGACATGGGGGTTTAGAACAGTTTTGGTAGAGATGTTGTGATTTGAAACCCTTTCTTAGTGTCCGAATTCGTTCCCTTCGTTCGTCCACAGTACGATATCGGTTACAAAAATGGATTTTGTGTACACCTCCACACGCTGCGCATCGGTATTGCGATGTGGGTTTCGTTTGTGTTAGTGGATTTGCTAGGATTAGGTTGCATATTTACTGTGTAAACTTGGGTTACCTCTAACTTTTTTACTATGTTCGGAATTTCCTACCTAAGTTTCTTCAAACTCCAGTTAGTGGCATCGTCATATTCTTTCGAGAGCAGCTTTTGTTGAATGCTAAGTGGAATTTTATGGAGAACCTTAGTTTTGTATTCGATTGCGTCAATATGGGCTTCAGCTTTCGATAGTGGCGTTACGATAGCCATGAGATCGCTAACCGTTCTACGCAATTGAAAGGCATGTTCCGAAGATTGAGGAATTTGTTAGAGCTGGTCTAATAATAATTTGATGTTAAGGTCTTGATTGTGAAACTGTTCTTTCAATTGCCTTACCGCATCAGCGTGACCTGATGCTTTACGAGGAATGTTCTTTAAAGCTATCGCGGCTTCCCCTTTACATTTGTCTAGTAAGATTGTTAACTTTTCTATGTCCGAATACGGTTGATTATGTACGAATTCCGAATATATTTCCCAAAATGCCTCAAACTCAGTAGGATTACCATCAAACTCTGGAATGCGAAGTTCCTTACGATATCAGTGAGGGGGGATGCTAAGAGGACGTTGAGTTTGTACACTGTCCGAGAATGGCTGTGCGAATGAGGTTTGTGGAAGTTGCGAGAAGGAGAGAGGGGATGTCGGTTGCATGCGTGCACGGGTTTCGAATTCATCGGCATACACTAACTGCATTTCTTGTGTTGCGAGTTCCATTAACCTTATTTCGAGTTTCTGAATTACTACACTTGCTGCTTCTAGAAGCCCTTCTCCTTGATGTTCATCCCAATATTTTTCGTACTCCTTCACCGCCTCTCCGTTAGAAGAATCCTGATCTGAAATGCGAGGAAGTGTGTCTTCATAAATGGTAGTAACCCGTTCGAATTTATTTCGAGTTCAGTTGCGATGGTATTTATTATGTTACGTTGGGAAGGAATGAATACGTGAAGTTCTATTTGGGTTTTTGGAAAATCCCATGCTTCGTCATATTGCGAGCATTCCGCAGGATATGACATATATCATTCAAGAAACGAGTAATCCTCTGCTTAGCAGACGAGAGAATTGCACGAGACATAAAGTTCCACAGACACTATGGAACCAGGTCAGATGATCAATGAGGAAACAGATGATCAACTGAAATGAGAGCATGGTCTTGCGATGTGCTTTATAAATGAAGTCTGCGCCATGATAAGATAAGGGGGAGGGGTTTCCAGTGGAATCCGTGCGAATAAAAACATTTTGTTTGCGTGAGAATGAAAACATATTACTGTCATTATGTTGCGAAATGGATGATATGTGTGATCCTGAGAATATAAACATCTGAGGCATGAGAAGATCATTATCTTCTCCACATTCCTTGCGAGAAATATTGGGTTGTCCGAAAAGTTTCCGCCGATTTTTGATACCCCGGATTTATCAACCGTTGTACAAAAGATCAAGGACCCAACCTAATAAAGTTATATGTTTTCTGAAAGAGTAGATCCTCCTCTATATTCCTGTTAACATTCTGTCAACATTTGTCGAAGTTTGTCTGTACAGGACTCGTATGAAAATGGAGAACCACTGCGCGCATTTTCGGCAACTGAAGTATTTCTTCTATCGCAAATCCTAGAATGCGACTCAAGCCGCATGAAAGACATATTACGTTTGAGTAGACCATGCCCTAGAGGAACGTACAGTGCATGACTAGTTTGCGGAATCCAAACGGAGTGAATTTGCCTTCGATGATCGGCAACCCTTAGGGGACTATCATCAGTTTGAACGATCAACTCAAAATGTTAACCGAAGCAAATCGGCAGATCACTGCTCGTGGAGTGGAGGCTTAGTGTTTCGAAATTAACCA